CCCTTCGCTCTAGGATCCGGGGGCGAAGGGCATGGCTCTGCGGTGGCAGCACTTGCCTGCAAAGCCCCCCCAGCTTGCATGCAGCTGCCGTTACCCCACACCGCCATGGAGCCATGCAGCCGGTCGCAGGGCATGCCACTGCATGCAAGCCCCCCATTCCACCCCCCAGCTGGGTGGCACGTATGTGACCCACACATGGTTGTACCCAGTACCTCAGAGGAAGGCTTAAAAACAGGACACTCCCTGGCACATGTAGCAGAAAGGGGTGGGTGGTGGGATTCCCACCGAGCTCTGTGTGGCAACTGGCAAAGCCCAGAAACCTGGAATGACCCCGAGCAGAACGCAGGCACAGCTACGCCCGTGTCACCCCAACCAGTGGCTGTGCAGCCTCACGTTGAGGCCCCACCTCCCCACATTCTGGCATTTCTTTCGGGAAAGCTTTGGCAGCATTATTCCCTAAACAGGATCCAGCCCTGCGAACCCAGTTGGAGGATGATGCTGAGGTCCATGGAGAACCTGGAGGGTGTTTGGCACAGGACAAGAGAGGCAACAAGTTTCCCTGGACCAGGAGAAAGGGGACAAGTGAGTCTAGTGTGTGCTCATGCCCACATGTGTCTGCCCTACCCTGGGGCCTGGCTCTCTCTCTAGTGAGGAGACAGGTGCAGCTTGGAGATCTGGGTGGCTACCTGTCTGATGAGCAGGGGCTGAGTGTTGTGCTTGCAAACCAAGCAGGTCTCCCAGTCTGCCTTTCCAGCTGGCCCAGTGCCCCAGAGTGACCTGTTTCCCTGCTCCCAGCCAGGGCTGTTTGGTGGCTGGACAGCAGGAAGCCCTATTGCCAGAGCTGGAGCAGGATCCCAGGTTCTTATACCCAGGATGTCTCTGGGGGCTGTATTTTATCTGGACAAGAACAAGAGAATCCAAAGCAAGTTCCTCTACACGGGACACGGTGTATTTGGATACTAGCAATCAGGGAACACTTCCCAGAAATGACAACATGCTGCATTTCACTCAGAGGATGTCCTCATACCCCCACACCTTTCCACAGGAGAGGACTTGCCACAGGCTGCCCCTCCTTCCCCCCGCCCACATTTCCCCCAGAAAAGGCACTCCACTGGCCTCCGACCACAGGCTCCTTCCAAAAGGCAGGGTCCTTGCTGCACAGCAGTACAGGGGAGTAACACCTCAAGTGTGACCAACTCCTGTGTCTGAGTGTTTGCAACAAAGCCTGGACCACAGCAAATCCTTGGCAAAGTGATGGGGCTGAGAAAGGATGGAGATCTGCCCTGGAAAGAGTTCTGGGCCCTGGTCGGTTCCCATCTCCCAGCTCCGGAGAGGACAGAGCCCAGCCACAGGGATTACTGTGTTCAGTGCTGGTGCTTTCTGAGCACAGACTGCATTACAGAGACTGCCATGAAGGGCAAGAAAGTAGGAGAGCAGCAGGCACCTGGGGGTGCTGAGCTCTGGAGAGAGGATGAGAAGCAAAACATGCCAAGTTGGGCTCATGGGGTGGCACCAGCAGCTTCTTGCAGACCCCATTGGGTAAGGGAGGTGACCAAGGACAGGCCCTGGGGGCTTTTGGAGGCAGCTCTCTTGGAGAAAACATCCTATTAGGAAGGCGCTTCTTCTCCCCTGGGAGCACCGGCTGTTTCTAGACTACAACGGGGAAGGCACAGGCTCCAAGGCTGATAAAAGATCATCTCATTGGTTCCCCCAGGATCTGGCCTGGCACTGGCCCCAAGTGTTTCCTTTTAGCCCCTCCCCCAATGCAACCTTCAAGACCAGCCTCTGGGTCCTTGTTCTGTGGTGCCCTACATGGCTCAAAGGCTCCAGAAAGTCTTTCTGCACTCCAGTAGCATGAGGCTGCTTGCCTAAATGCAGCCACTGGTGGGAGCTGAGCAGGTGGGCATCCCTAAGCCCTCCCTGCACTGCTGGCAGAATTATGGATGATCCCAGGTGTGGATGTGCTAGTGTTTGGCTGGAGTGCAGGAGTCGTGGAAACTATTCTCACATGCAGAGCACCAATCTGGCTCCTCCCTGATGTGGAAGCGCTGGTGCTAGCGGAGGCTGGAGGAATCTCTGAATCTCTTCTACACAGAACAATAATGTGGCTCCTCCCCTTTGTGGATGCGTTGGTGTTTGGCTTGACTGGAGGATTCACGGAATCTCTTCCCACACTCAAGGAACTGGTGTGGATTCCCCACCGGCTGCATGCGCTGGTGCTGGGCAAGGAGGAAAGACTGGATGATGCTCCGTCCACACTCAAAGCCCTGATGTGGCTTCTCCCTTGTGTGCTTACGCTGGTGATTGGCCAGGATAAAGGAATGAGTAAAGCTCTTCCTACACAATGAGCACTAATGGGGCTTCTCTGCTATGTGAATGTGGTGGTGCTGGGTGAAGTTGGAATATGGGGTGAAACTCTTCCCACATTAATGGGACTTCTTCCCTGTGTGGATATGCTGGTATGTGGTGAGGTGGTAGGAACTAGCGAACCTCTTCCCACAGTCAGAGCACCGATGTGGCTTCTCTCCTGTGTGGCCACTCCCGCCCTGGGCCAAGCTGAAGGAGTGGGTAAAGTTCTTCCAAACTCAAAGGCCTCATGTCGCCTCTTCCTTGTGTGGACGTACTGGTGCTGGGCCAGGTTGGAGGAGTGGGTAAATTTCTTTCCACACACAGAGCACTGATACGGCTTCTCCCCTGTGTGGATGCTCTGGTGCCGGGCCAAGCTAGAGGAGTGGGTGAAGCTCTTCCCACACTCAGAGCACTGATGTGGCTTCTCCCCTGTGTGGATGCTCTGGTGCCGGGCCAAGCTAGAGGAGTGGGTGAAGCTCTTCCCACACTCAGAGCACTGATATGGCCTCTCCCCTGTGTGGATACGGTGGTGCAGGGCCAGGTGGTAGGATTGGGTGAAGCTCTTCCCACACACAGAGCACTGATACGGCCTCTCCCCTGTGTGGATGCGCTGGTGTTCAGCCAGGCTGCAAGCATGGGTGAATTTCTTCCCACAGTCAGAGCACTGGTGTGGCTTCTCCCCAGTGTGGATACGCTGGTGTATGGCCAGCCGGCAGGACCGGGTGAAGCTCTTCCCACACTCTGGACACCGATATGGCTTCTCCCCAGGGCGCAAGCACCGGTGCCGAGCCAGGGTTGAGAGGGAGGTGAAGCCCCTCTCACACTTGGCACATAGGTGGGGCTTCTCCCCAGCATGGCTTCTCCTGTGCAGAGCCAGGAGTAAAGGGCAGCTAAAGCTTTTCTGACACTGAGGGCAGGGGTGGGCTTGGCCCCTGGGCTTGGCAGGGAGCTTCCACTTCCCTTCGAGGCCTGCCCCACTGGGTCGGCTCAGATTTAGGGTCTCTGTACAGTGGAACTTTCCCTTGTGGCTCTTCAGCTCCACAAATCCTTCCCTGAACCCAGGGCTGTCTCTGGCTTCTGTCCTTTCTCCACTCTCATGCTCCAGGGGAGATGGCGCCTGCTTCCCTGCTGTATTCTCCCTCTGCTGTTGGGGCCTCCACTGGCTCTGGGGCCACTGGTCTTCCTCAGGTCTCAGGGACTCCATCTTGCCCAAATGCCAGGGTTGCTCCAGGCTTGCCAGCCCTTCTTCAGGACTCTGCTTCTCAGCTCTGCTCAGCAGCCAGGCACCTCCTGCATGGGGAAGAGAAACTCCAGGTTAGTCCCTGCCCTGATGGCACAGGCCAACACTGCTATTCCCTCCACTGCAATGGGGCTGTGAGCACAACTGGGCCTTGGCACTTATTTTTTGATAAGAGAACAAGGTCTTCCTGCCAAACCCCAAGTGCTGGGGTGAGGGAGCAGCATGTCCCTGTGCGGGGTTAATATTCCCGGCTCGTTGGAGGTCAGACCCAGACTCTCAGGGTTTCTGGCCCAGCTGTCAGCCCTATCCCCTCAGACCCTGCTGTGGGAAACATATATACTACATGTGTGTTAGGACAGGACCTCAATGGCTTCCTGCTCTAATGGGACCAGGAGACTAGAGGCAGAATCAGCATAAAGGAAGGCGGCAGCTCTCTGAGGGCTGTTCTGGTGCTCAGCACTGGCGTGTCCAGGAGATGATACCGAGCCCCCCACCTGGTTGGGCCAACATGCTCCAGAAGCCAAAGGGCATTTGTGAGACTGCTCTCCTGTGATCTCCAGCAGTCCTGAGAGCAGCATCTGGTACCAGGGTGAACAGCCCCACAATGGATTTCTGGGGCTTGCCAGCAGTCAAGGGTGTGTGGGGAGCACAGTTTTACACTGGAGCAGCTACTTCTCCTTGGTACAAAAGCCCTTCCTGCCTCCAAGGACTGTTCTGGGAGGTGAGGACTTAGAGCTGTGGCTCTCCCTCCTGGAAGGAGCAGGGCTGTGCCTCCTACCCGCTTCCAGAGAAAGATCTACTACCTGCTTCCCCCCCACATGAAAGCTTCTGAATCCCACACACCCCAGTGAGCCATTCAATGCAGCCTGAGACCAGGATTCAAAACATCTGGTCAGGTCGACCTGGAACACAGGGAGGCACCAGACCTGTGCCTAAAAATCAAGACAGCATACTGGCCCGTCCCCTTGCAGCTGTATTTAGGGGAAGAGATGGGGGGAACAGCTGCTCATCTCTACAGCTTGGTATTTCAGTGCGTGGAAACAACACTTGCCTGGACACATAACAACACAAGCTACTGGACGGCAGCACCCTGAAAGGACAGCACAGGCGAGGTCTGCCGGTTCGAGCAGTTCTGAGAGGGGAATCAGGGGAGGAGACAACTCACCTGGCAACAGGTCCTCTGACCTTGAAATGTCCTGATGGCCTTCCTCATCACTGACCCAGAGCTCCTTCTGTCCTTGCTGGATGCAGAGAATTAAGTCAGGTGTGGGACCTTGGTATCCTGTTTGGAGCAATAGTTAAAAGGGGTTCATGACTGCAGACTGGATGCAAAATAACTAACTGGGATTTGGGGAATGGATGCAATGATCTCAAGGATTCTACTGGGACCCTGAAGGACAAAGGAGGTTAAATGTTTACGATGAAAGAGAGGGTGCTGCAGGGGGAGAAGCCTTCAATAGATTCTGGCCTTTGTCACCCAGGTGGTGGAGGGATAGTTGTATAAATGCCAAGGTATAAAATGGGTGTGACAGTGACAGTTTTCCCAGGGACAGGTGTGGAGATGCAGTGACCTGTGTTGTGGTAGAGAGCAGAAAGATGATGTTTTCACTATTTACAAGGCACCAAAACGTAGAGTCTGGACACACTGGTGACTGGATAAGATCTGTCTTATCAGTGTAATTCCAGGCAAAGTAATGGGAATGAGTTTCTTCTCTGGGAAGGTTTAAAGCTGGGCCTGGAGGCAGGGAACAGAATTCAGGACAGATGGCTGACCATGACACTTCTCTCTGGGAGGGAGGGCCACTCCTCAACAGGGTAGAGGAAGGGAAGATGTTATAAGAACAGTAGTGGCAAAGACAGCAATCATCCCATGCAGGGAGATGAGCACATGGGTGGGCAAATCCTTCAGGATTTGCAACAAAGGTCCCAGGAGTTATGGATATGGACAACTGAGGGGAGAGGGAGGCACCTTTTACAGCACGTGCAAGCCTGTAACATAAGAATGGTCGACATGGTCTTTGCTGAGCTAGAGAAAGCCTTGGAGTCCTTCCCTAAGGAAGTCCTTCAGCAAAACTGGAAGAAAGAGAGATGAGAACAAAGGCAAATTGGCCTGGCAGAAGGTACATCCCCCTGCCCTGCCCACAAGCCAGAACAACCCCTGTATCAGAGACCCTCTAGAAATGACAGTGGGCTTTCACCAGCCCTACACTGAGCCCACCCCTTTAAAATCGCCATATCAGGCATCTGACATGCAGAGGGATTTCAGGAGGAGGATGAGACACCTTCTGAGAACGGTAAAGTGAGCTTCAGAGCAGATCTCCAAGTAAACACAGCCAAGCCAAAGCCTGTGACCTATGAAGATGAAGATGTCAGAAAGGAACGTGGGCAGAAGCTTCCACAGACTCAGTGCTAGAAGTACCCAGGTTCCATCACGTGTACATGGGTCACTAGAGACAGAGTCGAGGAAAGGCAGATCTCAGGGGTGGTTGCAGCAGAGGCTGATGAACCCATTACCTTCAGCTGGGTTGTAACCAAAGGAAGAGAAAGGGGATTAAGATAGCACTGACTGAGCATGCTCAGAGTGTTAGACGTGTGGGACAGGACACATTAGGTGGGAGGAGAAGGAAAGAAAAAGCATTCCCCAAGGAACATCTGTCAGTGATTTTGTGTGCCCAATGAATCGGAGATGGCATGACCGTGCTGAGAAAGGCAAGCAAGATCCCCTTGCCCAGATATGGCTGGATATGGAAACACTGGGGGTGACAAGAACAAGGAAGACTCAGGGGAAAGCGACCAGATCAAAAGGAGCAGGAGATGTCCGTATGAAACACAAGAGCAGCCTGGTCACACATGGAGCTGTGGGGAGGATGTGGATTTCAATCCCCAGGGAAAAGTTTGCAAGGAAGACAGTACGGAGAAGCAGGGAAAACACACTAAGCACCAGCGCTCACATGGCTGCAGGGAGAAGCAGGAAAGGGCTTTACCTAGGGAAACAAGGGCTTGGCAGTTCCTCAGCATCTGGTCCCGGTACAGCCCCTTCTGTGCATCCTCCAGAAGCTCCCACTCCTCCCGTGTGAAGTACACAGCCACGTCCTCAAAGGCCTCTCGGAGCTGCAGGCACAAGCGTTTCTCCATCAGTGTCTCCCATTTCAGTTGCCTCCAGCCCCAACCGCCCTCTCCAGGATCCCTCTGCACAACAGATCTCTCCAGGCTGGGCCATGACACACAGGGTGCAAAATGCCCCACTCTTCACTGACACGGGATGTGGGGGCAGCCATGGACATAGGGGTGCAGGTGTCTGCCCTGGTCCAGCTCATCACGTTCTACGTGCTCAGCTCTCTGAAGCAGCACTTTTAGAGCCACAGGCTCCATGACTGTGACCAGGCCTTCCCATACCAATACCCTTGGCTATTGGCATTGAGGAGCAAGCTCCACTGAACGCTGCCTGGGTGCAGTTGCAGCCCCCATCACCAGCAGCTTGTTTCTCCTCAGCTCTCTCCACTGCCCAAACTCTTGAAAGTGCCCCTGGGTCCTCCCAGGTGTGGGCCCAGCTGCTCTCCCACCCCCCAGGTGGAGCTGATGCCCTGCTCACCTCTGTGCTCTCCCCCTGCCTTGCCAGCCTGCCCTGCCCCTTCTGCAGCTGGCTCCGCTCAGGGCTCAGGGTGCCCCGCTCCCCCGGCCTTCCTGGAAAAGTTCTCAACAGCTCCAGAAACATGTCTGCAGATTTGGCCTGTGGCTGCTCTGGCCAGGAATCACTAGGCTCCTGCAGTGCCCCATTGAGCTGCATCGTGTCTGAGGTCCCCTCCTTGACCTTCACCCTCACAGAGACCTGGGAACAAGAGGAACGTGTCATAGGGGGCTGGGACTGAGAGAGGCTGGGCGGGAGGAAACATCCCCCAAGCACATGGAGATGGGGTCAGCAGCATCCATGATGAGGGTGAAACACTCGCACACTGAGTTTCTCCACATCTGCCTGCCCCAGCCAAAACCCCTCGACCAGGGTCACTGCCTTGGGACACGTCTCCATGTGGTGCCCGCGTTCCTCATCTCCTGGAGCAGCACGGCCAGGACCTGCTCCAGCACCACCAGGTGCTCCTGCTGCAGTTCTAGCAGAGCTCTTGCAGGCAGGTGCAGACCTCCTCTGGGTCCTCAGCCTCCTAGTAGCACTGGCCCTGGGTCCCTGGCCCCGGGAGCTCATTCCCCGATGCCAGCGGTGCGGTGCGGTGCGCGAGGGCCCCGCGGGGGCTGCTTCACCTCCTGCCCCCGGGCCCCGCCGTGCTGGACCAGCTCCTCCTGCAGCTGCTGCTCCACTTGCTGCGGGCGGGGCGCCT